ATATATCTCTTTGCCTTTTCTTTTCATGGTTATGCAGAGGGATAGGTGGATTTTGGTGATGGACTGGCAGTAGTAGTACAGTATCGTTGTTGAAATTCTGAAGATCTTCTAATGTTACTGTCTGGAGAGCAGTCTGCCCATGGGTTTCGGAGTAATTTCTTCTCTTTCAACCGATGATCTGAGGTGCTAATTCAATCTGCATCTCTTTGTGTAAAAAAAAAAAAACTCTCATCGTGACTTCTCAAATAAGATGCCTATTAGGAATCACTGCATTCATTTGGAATGTGTCCTTGCCTCAGGTTTATGATGTTCTTATGGTAATATGGTAGATATATTAAACAAGTTAGATGATTTTGAGGCAAGAAAGGCTTCAGTTTTCATCTGCTGAACCATTCCCGACAAAATGAACATACGAATGGAAGTTGCAGCTTGCCTGATCCTTTGCATGTGAAGTGGGTTTCCCACAATCCATACATGGCTCATTAATCATTAGCTGAACTATGATAGTATTTTGCTGTGCAGGTAGTGTTATTAACATGTGAAAGGAAAGAGTTTGATTGCACTGCCTGAAAGATTGTCGCATGATTTAGATGTATGAATCAATAGTTCATGTGTCACTAGGGATTGCATATTCATGGTGTCATTTAATGGTCTCCCCTCTTTCCTTCCTCGCAGACAACCTTTGATGTTGGTATTTGGTATAAGGCAGTTGTGATAAGGTACTTCCATTCACTTTTCCCTCAATGGTAGTTCTTAAATGTCTTATAAAAGTATATTTCTTCCAGTTTAAGGTCATCAAAGCTTTGATTATTTACAACAGTTAGCATTATTTGCAGGAAAACCATGACGTTCGAAGGGTAAAGCCAGGAAGGATTTACCTTCTGTTCAATATGCTTCCTGGAAGGTAAGAGCCGGTGTGCAGTGCAAATCAAATTTTCCAGATGCATTGTATCAATCTGACAGTTTAATGTGTGTTCACCTGTGCATGTGCTTTCAGACCAACACGTCTGGTATGGCTCCTTTCACTTCTAACTTCTTGATTTGCACCTGGTTAACATTGTTCAATGGAGTTCACTGTAATTTCGATGAAAACTTAGTAACTGGGAGATGTTCTCAAGTAAAAATCACGTCTGAAATTGAGTTGGTTTTGCTCCATACCTTTGGCTTTACAGGGAAATCTTTCTAAATTTGAAGGCACGATCAGCAACAACTCTTAAGCAGGTATAGATCTGTGTACACAGAGCTTTTGAGCTTTGTCCTGAGCATTTGTAAGGGCTATCTGTTACTAGAAATCCATGAGAAGCTTAGCTTACGAACAATGTGAAGCAACATGCGACCCTTTGCTTTTTGTTGTAAGTGCTCATTTCTCTGCCTTTTTCAGTTTGCATTTTGTTCGAGTAGGCTTCAGGTGGTAAGTTTCTTTGTCGATCTGTTAGCAATTACCTTAAAATTCCATAGCTGTTTGATTGGGGATCAAGAGAATCGTGCTTTGTTTTTGCATAAGTGATTGAACACGAGAATTTGATGGACAACTTCCACTTTTAAACAGATGTTTAGTTTCATTGGTGAAATACGGTTACATGAAACAGGATATGACATTTCAATTCTATTTACATTTGCTGATTGAAGTCTATGTATGTATGTATGTATGTATGTATGTATGTATTTAGCCATAGTTTTCACTGTACCTAAATTCTCTCTTCTATGTGCGATGTTCTGAGTAATTAATACCCATTTCTTTGTGGTACTCAGGTAATTAAGTGGTTCGAATGGGCTGTGTGTGCATGGTTGCCAGTTAATGAAGGAAAGTTGGAGCTAAGAGGAGTTGCAAGTGGGAGATTTCATTTGCTGGGTATAAGTTATAACATTGAACAAATTGTTTAATTTGTTTAATTGAATGAATGTTGATTCGATGGTATTAGAATTGAATGAACTTAGATATGTAATTCAAAGTCAAATTTGATGGTATTAGAATTTAATGAATGTTGATTTGAATAAATATATTAAATATTTATATTCAGAAATATTCCAGCAGGTTTGAGGTGTGGCCATTAGAGCAGGCGATTAAAAAAAAAATGGAAAAGTGCATTTTCGCGACGGTCGGTTGCCTTTCTAACCGTCGCCAAGGCCATTAATTCATTTATGGGAATATTTATTTAACGACAGGTTCTTTGAAGATAACGACGGTTACGGCCGTCTCTAAAGTTTCTCGACGGTCGACCAAAAGCGTCACAAAATTATTTAAGGACGGCGGGGTCAACGACGGTTGGTTGGCCGTCGTGAAAATATTTAGCGGTATTGATCGTCACTAACTGCCCAGAAAACCGTCGCTAATGTACTGTTTTGTTGTAGTGTCATATCACATATGATGTTGTAAAAAATGTCACTATTTGTTTCAACCACGACACGTTTGACATGTCACAGTAAATGTCACTATTGGTATCAGCTATGACACTTTGGAATGTTATGAGAAATGTCACTATTTGTATTTACTATGTCACATTGAAATGTCTTGAGAAATGTCACCATTTGTATTTACGATGACACATTGACATGCCATTAGAAATGTCACTATTGGGATCAACTGTGACATATTGGAATCTCACAAAAAGTGTCACTAATTGTATTAACTTTGATGATTAGGAATGTCTCGAGAAATGTCACTATTTCCATCAATCGTGACATATTAACATGTCCTTAAAAATGTCACTATTGAGATGGGCTATAACATATGGAAATGTCGCGGTAAATGTTACCATTGGTGTCAACCATGACACTTTGGAATGTCCTGAGAAATGTCACAATATGTATTTACTATGACACTTTGATATGTCCTTAGAAATTGTCACTATTGGGATCTACTGTGACAATTATGAATGTCTCGAGAAATGTCACTATTTGTATCAATCGTGTCATATTAACATGTCCTTATAAATGTCACTATTGAGATGGGCTATGACATATTGAAATGTCACAAGACATGTCACTATTGGTATTAACTATAACAGTTTGATATGTCTCTAGAAATGTCACTATTTGCATCACTTACGACGCTTTAAAATGTCACAAAAGATGTTATTATGCTACGATTATAAGTGTCGCAATATGTAAAATAAACGTCACACAAGAGTGGTACTGACAATTGTAACAAATGTCACAAAAGAAGTTAGTGACACTAGATTATGTGACATTTATGTGACATTTATGTAAAACGTCAGTACAACACTATTGTGACATTTTTCTACCTTTTAATGACAATTTGACTGAATTTTAAATTGTCACTTCAGCTGTTTTTTTTTGTAGTGTGTGAACCAAACCAATATTATTACTGGTTTGACAGAGCTAATTATCTAATCGCGCGCGTTGATCCGATTTGGTTCTTATAAACTAAGGTTAATAAGAGATACAACCGCGTTTCCATTATTGTAATCCAATTTCTTAACAATCTTACCTCTCTTATAACTTTTTTTTCTTCTAATCTCCGTATGTTTTAGTTGAAGGGATCTCGTGCTCCAGAAACTATGTCGAGGCAACAAACCAAGAGCATCATGATCGTCCGATCACTGCCACACCCTACTATGATAATCATGATGATCATCACAGAAACCCTAGACAGCCGGTGGAATCTGCAGCAGCAAGCCTGACGATGGCTAACAAGCTGGCCGACGGGACGACGAACGGTGATGAGTGCAACACCAATGAGGATTGCGTTGGAAAGATAATTTGCGGTGGTGTGGACCCGATTTGCTACAACGGATATTGTGACTGTCTCTGTTGCAACTAAAAGAAGCCCTCTCTTTACGATGTATGGTTTGCGATATAAAACAAGGGGAGAAATCATCTCAGTCGTCTTTTGTTGTTTTTACTGTGTATTAATAATGTGTGTAATAAAAGGCCAATTATGTCCATTAAGTTGGCCATAATCTTCTTATTGAAAAATTCGGGACAAAACTTATACTTACGCTAAACTTCATATCGAATTAAGGTATTGACAGCTATTTTTTTATGGAAACTTAAATCTCTCCTCCGATCGCCTCCGACTACTCTTTGATTATGACTCTCTTCCTCCGTCTGGCCACCTTCGTTACTGTCTCTCGCCGTGCAACACCTAGAACCAATACGAACGAGTAGAAACCTGTGTCCACGAGTACCAATGCCAGTGCCAGATCAACCAATAACAACGAGCAGAAATCAGTACCAATACAATAACATAAAAAAGTACCAATAATAATTGGAAGTAACGATTTCCATCGTTATCAATTCAACCAATACCAAAATTATCAGTACCGTTAACAAAATCAACCGATGCCAATTCAACAAAATATCAACTAGTATCAAGCATAATATAAACACAAATCAATACTAATATACCAACCCCAGATTTACGTGGTCAACCTGTTGATTTACATGTAATGCACGAACTACCTTTGATCTTCTATCATATTTCTTCTTCACCGAAATGGCGAAATCCAAAGCCACCTTTGTTCACATGAATTCAGAGCGATAAGCTAATAATGAAGTTCGTCATTTATATAAGTTTATGCTGATATTAATTCGGGTTGAACGGTAGAAAAGTTCTTGTTGCATTAAAATCTTTTTAGCGATGAAAATCTTCTTCCAACACGGATAAGATAGTAATCAATCGATTGACCGTGTTGTTTGCACCGATCAACCATTATTTTTCTTTATAATGGTGGAGTCTCGTTGAGATAAATGAAACCGTTCTGGTATTCTTAGAATTTTTAAAATGTCTAGTCTCTTATCCTTCTTGGGAAAAGAAAATAAGGTTGAAGTTTCTACATTTTGTCTCGGTAATGGGTATAGTCCGTGACATATGGGTCCAGCTTAGTTGGATCCCATTCAGAGCCCGCAGTGTTTAAAAATTAAAATCCCAGCAACTAGCAGAAGAGATAATTCATATGATCATCACCAAATATCAACTAGCTTTCCTGCGTTTTCCTATGAAAAAAAAGAGTGATTACCATAGTGTTCCCGCCAAGATGATTGGTTCTTCTTCACCAAGTTGGTGGGTAGTTGCACTACTTCTTACTACATCAGCAGCAGCCTCTTCGAACATCAATTCGAGCAACGAGACGGATCGAATGGCGTTGCTGCAGTTCAAGTCCATGATCACCGGTGACCCTTTCGGGGTTCTGAGCTCGTGGAACGATTCCACTCACTTCTGTCAGTGGTACGGCGTGTCTTGCTCCCAGAAACACATCGGCAGAGTCACTGTTTTGGAACTGCCTTCTAAGAAGCTCTCTGGCTCCATTTCGCCACACGTTGGCAACCTCAGTTTCCTGCAAAGGTTGCTACTTTCCAACAACAGCTTGATCGAGGGAATCCCACCCGAAATCGGCAGGCTCAACAGACTGCAGCACCTGATTCTCCAGGACAATTTGCTCGGTGGCGAGATCCCATCGAACATCTCAGGATGCTCTGCTCTTACCTTGTTCTACGTAGGAAACAACAAATTGGTGGGACAGGTACCATGGCAGCTTGGATCCTTGCAGAAGCTACAGGAGCTTTGGATCAATTCAAACAATCTGACAGAAACCATCATTCCTCACTCTCTTGGAAACTTGTCGTCGTCTCTACGCGTGTTCTACGCAGCAGAGAACAGGTTCAGTGGTGGAATTCGTGATGTTTTCGGGCAAATGACGAGTTTGGAGGAGCTCATTGTGGCGTCGAACTACTTATCAGGTGAAATCCCGGATTCGGTATTCAATCTTTCTTCCCTCACGATTTTGTCATTTGGAGTGAACAAACTCCACGGCAATCTACCTAGAGAAATGGGATTGTCACTTCCCAATCTTGTGCATTTGGATATGGCTGAAAACCAGTTTAGTGGTAGCATCCCAGCTTCTCTATCCAATGCCTCGAACTTGGTTATACTTCAACTGCAGTTCAACAATTTTACCGGGAGGATGCCCGGTATGGAAAGCTCTCGCAAGGTTTCCCGCATTTACATCTACCAAAACTCTCTTGGTGGTGGGAAGGCTGATGATTTGAGCTTCTTCTCTTCTCTGCCCAATGCAACCAGCTTGGTGCAGTTGTTTGTTCATGTGAATCACTTTGAAGGCAACTTATCAGAGGTGATTGGCAGCTTACCAACCAGCCTGGAGATGCTTAGTCTGTACAGGAACAGATTCTCCGGGAGTATACCAAGCGCGATACAGAACCTCGTCAACTTGCAGGTCTTGGATGCACATAAGAACGATCTCTCGGGTGAAATCCCGTCGATCATTGGAAACATGGGAAATTTGCAGTATATAGATTTGAGTAGCAACAATATTGCAGGTTGCATTCCATCTGCCATTGGGAAGTTGACTAGATTGTATAGGTTGGATCTTGGGGACAACAAGTTACAAGGAGAAATTCCTGCTGCAATTGGGAACTGCACAAGTTTGATAGGTTTGAGCTTTTCTCAAAACAATCTTAGTGGCACCATTCCCTCACAACTCATGGGTCTTTCTTCCTTGTCACTTCATATGCTCTTGTCTCATAATCGTTTATCTGGCACCATTCCAATAAGCATAGGAAGTCTGACAAATTTAGGGGAGTTGGATCTGTCACATAACATGTTATCAGGTGAAATACCAGCTTCTCTTGGTAGTTGTGCAAAATTAGAGATGCTGAGCTTGCAAAGCAATCTGTTACAAGGAACCATTCCTTCTTCTCTAAGTTCATTAAGAAGTATCAAACTGTTGGACGTCTCTAGCAATAACTTATCAGGTCAATTTCCAAAATCGTTCGAAGGCATGAAGCTATTGCAGCTTTTGAATCTGTCTTATAACAATATTGAGGGGGAAGTGCCATCAAATGGAGTCTTCAGGAATGGCAGCATGATTTCAATCGTTGGAAATGGCAAACTCTGTGGTGGTGTGATTGAACTCAATCTTCCACCTTGTAACTTCAAGCAGAAAAAGAATGCATTCAGCCATAAGTTGATCATCAAGATTGTCATATCGACAGTCTCCAGTGTATTATTGCTGGCATTCGTGGGTTCTTGGTTGCTTATCTTTTGGAACAAAAAGAGAGGAAAGCACGAGACAGTTTCTGCTGATGATTCACAGCTCCCATTGTCTTACCGTGACCTATATAAAGCTACAAATGGTTTTTCTAGAGAAAATTTGGTTGGTGTGGGCAGCTTTGGTTCTGTGTATAAGGGGCTCCTGGACAAGAATGGGATTGCAACCACCATTGCAGTGAAGGTGTTCAACCTACAACGTCGTGGAGGTTCCAAGAGTTTCATGGCAGAATGTGCAGCATTGAAGAACATCAGGCACAAAAATCTTGTGAGAATACTAACAGTGTGTTCAGGTATCGATGATCAAATGAATGACTTCAAGGCTCTCGTATATGAGTACTTGGCCAATGGTAGCCTCGAAGATTGGTTGCATCCAGTTGCAGATGGAAACGAGCCTCTAAGGAGCTTGAATTTCCTCCAAAGGCTGAATGTTGTCATTGATGTAGCTACTGCAGTAGATTATATTCACCACCAATGCGGAACACCTATAGTTCATTGCGATCTCAAACCGAGCAATGTGCTTCTCAATGAAGACATGACTGGTCATGTTAACGATTTTGGGTTGGCAAGATTCCTACAACCCACTGGAGATCCCTCTTCGATCGGCCAGATGTCAAGCACCATCGGCATAAAAGGAACAATTGGCTATGCTCCTCCTGGTAAACGTCTTATCTTGGATACCTATAAGTGAATAAATACAACGTTTTGAATAATTTCGTTTAATAACTATTGAATTTCTCTTCTTTACTAATCAAATCAGTAATGATTTCCTCACTTTTCCTTTATGCATAACTACAGAATACGGTATGGGAAATGAAGTCTCAAAACAAGGTGATGTCTACAGCTATGGAGTACTCTTATGTGAGGTTTTCACTGGAAAGAGACCAACCGATGAGATTTTCAAAGAAGGTCTGAACATTCATACATATGTTAGAACTGCTCTATCAGAAAAGCTAATGACACGAGTTCTGGATCCTGTTCTAACCAATGAGCTTCCTCTTGGTCAAGCAATCCCTTTTGATGCCATTAGCAGCAGCAACACACAGGAAACTAAGAAGAAGAAGGGCCAAATACTAGAGGAGGTTCTGATCTCCATTCTCGAAATAGGTGTCGTTTGTTCTTCAGACTCCCCAAATGAGAGAATCAGTATCGGTGAAGTTGTCACCAGGCTTGTCTCATTGAAAAATTTACTTCATGACAAATTTGCACAGAGACAGATTGGTGGGATGTAATTGTATAGAGTTGGCTGTTGCTGCACGGGGATGAAAAGTAAGTTCGAGTTGAGAAGGCGTCTGCCGGGGAGAATGGTGGGAATCAAGGAGACGAGTGACATGCAGGATGGAGGTAGAGTCGATGAAGAGAACGGATGGAAGAGGCTTTTTCTGGCTGAAGTGAACATTTTTCAGGAAAGCTTACGTGGAGGGGGAGCTAACTTCTACAATAAGTCAATTTGAACTCGAAGATTCCAAATCATTTTAACTTTATAAGCCAATAAACTGAAATGAAATCTGTAGAATGAACCATATGGTAAGGAAGAATCCCTCTCTTTATCTGACTTCTGACCCAAACCCAATTCTAAACAAATGGAAATGAAAAACAAATCACTGACAACTAATGATGTGAATCCAAGAAAGGGTAGTCAGTGTACCCTATAACAGGATCAGAAATGTAGAACGTGTCCCTGTTGTACTTGTTGAGAGGCGCATTGAGCTCAAATCTCCTCGGTAGATCAGGATTAGCCAAGAACAGACGACCATAAGCCACTAAGTCAGCACGATCCTCTTCCACAGCTTTGTTCCCATCTTCCCTGCCAAAACCTCCAGCAGCAACGAAAGTGCCCTTGAAAGCTTGTCTCATGGGGAGGAGACTCTGAGGAGTTTCAACTTTTTCAGCCACCGTCTTCATTCTGGGCTCAACCATGTGACAGTAGGCAATCCCATATTTGTTCAAGGACTCAGCCATGTATAGGCCTAAAGCTTCTGGGTTCGAGTCGCCACATTCACCATAGTTTGCAAATGGAGACAATCTGATTCCAACTCTGTCTGCTCCAATCTCATTGCTTATAGCTTCGACTATCTCTAGAGCAAACCTACAACGGTTCTCTAGAGACCCGCCATATTGGTCGGTTCTATCGTTCACTTGGTCTTTCAGGAATTGGTCGATGAGATAACCATGAGCACCGTGTATCTCCACTCCGTCAAAGCCTGCTTCCATTGCATTCTTTGCAGCAATTCTGAAGTCATTGACAATTTGAGGGATCTCATCTGTGCGCAATCGTCTTGGGGGTGTGAATTGTGCAACATCAATGCCATTTGCGCGACGCTGAGGGGTCAATGGCTTGTCACTAGACGAGATTGGCGCCTGCCCATTTGGCTGAAAACCTGCACAGATGTATAGATGTCAATAATGATGCAAACAACTAGAAGCCTAAGTCAATTATTGCTGCCATGAAAAAAGAATACGTTTCTTCCATAGACTAAGGAAATCACCTGAATTTGAAACCCTCCCAACGTGCCAAATCTGAAGGAAAAATATGCCACCCTTGGCATGAACAGCATCCACAATTGGTTTCCATGCCTCAACTTGCTCTTTGGTCCAGATTCCAGGGGCATCTTTATACCTGTTAACACGATGAACCGACATAGAATACATTCCAACAACACGTGAGAACTTGAAAAACTTGCAAATTAAAGAAACACCTCTAGTTGCATCAAAGCAAGAAGTACAAAGAGTAGCTAGAAAAAAAGAAAAAAATACTCACCCTTGTGCAGTGTCAGATACTCCAGTAGCTTCAGCTATCAGAAGACCACCTTTGGTTGTCCTCTGGGAGTAATACAAGATGGCATGTGGCTGTGGGACATTTCCATAAGATCTCTGTCTTGTCAATGGTGCAAGGACAATTCTGGAACCAAGCCAACAAAAGAGAATAGCATAAGGTTCATCCATTTTTTTAGCTATAGAAGTAGTTTCTTGTTGGAGTACAAAAGGAACTGGAGCTACTTTACGCCTCTCTACTACATGCTACGCTAAGATGGCTTATGGTGCTATATACTACATGCTAGGACTCTATGAATACAGGGTTGGGTTTGTCAAAGTTGGTGACTTTATTCATAATCCTATTTCAGGGTAACAAGTTCTAAAAAACATCCCAGCATCACATTTACTCAATTGGAGAGCGATCAGTCACCGAACTACAGAACGTACAGAGATATAAACTATCCACAAAAGCAACCGTACATCATATACCGTTCTCCCCCCAAGCAAACCCAGAAACTCAACCCATTTCTCAGCAACCCATTCTACACAATACCGAGTTGCCCAAATTGGAGGGTTTTCAACTCTGAACTAGAAAACAGAGCCCCAATCCAGAATCTAATAGTTTGCAGTCAACGTGTTCGAGAAAAATGACCAAGTCAAAGACGTACCTATGAGAAAGATCGAACTTTCCCATCTTGTATGGGGCGAGAAGGGGAATCGCTGATGGTTTTGCTGCCATTGTCGTATTCTTTTTCTTCTTGTTCTTCTCCTGTTTCTTCGCTGTTTCAATCGTTTACTTCTCTGAGAAATCGGAATCAAAGAAATTATCTCCTTTTGCAACAATGCCGTCCAATCGGGTACTTATAGTGAATCCCCACGTGAGAACTGGAGAAAGGCCGGCGCCCGCGTTCATGGCGGAGAAGAACAAAGAAAATGGGAGGCATCATCGCTGACGTCTGGAGAAGCGGCCGAATTAGGTAAGTGATCGAGAAATTCAACGTCTCTGGATCATCGATGACGTATTCAAGCATTTGACCACACACTGTATGGAATATCATGGACTCCCTTTTCAAGCCTACAAAAAAGCTTGGACTCACCCGCCAAAAGCCCAACACTTATCCGAGTTACTTTTAAGAAGAAAAAAGCCCATCTAAATTTGGGGTGGCAATCTGGGTTGAGACTTGAGAGGGACAAACCGAAACAAGGCCCTGAAGCCCAATTCAGGGTATTTTCTAAAAAATTTGTATTGGTCATTTGGTAATTCTGGTGAAGATAGGATAAGTTACAAAACTCTTTTCTAAATAATGCTATAAAATCTTCAAGAACCATCTCAAGAGATACCTCACATACTTAGGTTTATTGGTACGAGATGTTCCTCTTGCACTGATTCAATTATGAATCCCAAATCAAAATTCCAAATTGTAAACATAAACCCTAACCCTAAATCCGTAAATCCTAAATCCTTGAAATTAAAGTAAATCTTGAATGAGTTTTTTTGCAAATCTATGTGTTTATTGTTCATAATATCATAAGCGACGATTGATACCGTTTTGACATGAATCGCATGCTCGGAATGACGATTATGAGGCGAGTGCATTGAGTGCACCCAAAAAAGTGGGTGCACCGAATACACCGCCATATATATATATATGGTGAATACTGGTGCACGTCAGGCGTATAGTATACGTCAGGTGATCTAGCCGTTAGATGTAGTTAGATGAGCTCCGGCCAATCTCAACGGTCAATTTTTGTTTTTCATTTAATCAAACTTCGGGTTAGGGTTTTGAAAATGGGTGCCTGGGGTTTATCCATTAGAGGTTAGGGTATAGTATCATACCCCAAACTCGATTTAATTCATGGTCTAGATAGAGATATCTCACTAGTAGTACCTGAAGTATAGCATACGCCTAACATACGCCAGTCTGACTCATATATATATATATATATATATATATATATATATATATATATATAATATATATATTAAGTGTATTGGTACTAGATGCTATCGGTATCTATATAAATGCGGGTACCAATTGGTAAGTTTGTCATAAAATTACGTGGGGTTAGAGTCACTTTTGCATGCATGCACCCACGCACCCTTGTGACGCTCGACTCATTGGATTAATTATATCGAGTAATGATTCCTTCCAGAAATTGTTTAAGTTCTTCATATGATTTAGTACAGTACGAGCATGTATTTTTATCTCACATTTAACAGTGGTGATTTTTGTCATTCAACTTAGAGTCATTTGCGTAGCATGGTTATTTCTTTATATTTCCTGAAAAATAAACCCTCAATTATATCAAAATTTTAGTGGAAGCTTTATCCCCTCCAACTACATATAACTCCACCATTGAGTGTATCCATTTTTGCAGTAGTGGTGTCCAACTCCAACCCATAAGCAAAGCAAGTCGTCCACTATCAGTTCATCATGCACTTCCCAATTGTCAATGGCGGAATGGCGGGTGATAAGGTTTGAAGAAGTACTCGGGAGGTGGTTAACTAATTATGACCGTACTTGGAAAATTGAGTTCGAAATCTCTATATGATTCCGTGCAATAGTTTTAAGGTGAATCCTATATCGACAATGTACGAGAGAGTTTAATGATTCATAAGTTAGATATTTCTCGATTTTTACCGACGAAACGCGTTTAGAGATGAAATGTAAATCCGAAATTAAACGTAATCAATATGGAACAATATGCAAGGATGTGTAACCTTCCTATCACGCTTCCGGGTGAAGACTCAGGATTTGGGTGTTGTCCAATCTCTCAACCAAGTCTTCCACTAAGTCCAATCTCTCAAGCAACAAGTGGCCGGATATATTATCTCTTTAAAAGAACAAGTTACAAGTTTACTGTTTCATAGAGTCACGTCTTAACACTGTTTTTCTTTGCCACATTTGTACTGCGTTCTCGTCTGTAATCATTGCTTTCTCTCTCTTTCGTCTCTGCTTTTAGCCTGGGTTGCTGCGCCAGCGACTTCTCTTCTCTCTGCAACTTATCGGTTTTCGGAACTCCTCACCTTTCCCCTGAGAAATGACAGGTCTGGCGCTTCCTCATCTGTTCCTTTCCCCACAAAAGTCTTCTGTTGCTTTGCTACCTTTCATTTATGCTCCTCACAGACTTTCCCTCTTCTATCTTGCTTGCTCGCTTGCTTTCTTCTATTGCTCTTCCATGGTGACCCATAAATTGCTTCTTGACCTCAGCGACTCCGATGGCCTTCAGACTCTTCTGAAGCTGCGCCTCCTTCATGCGTGGGGGTCTTATGGGCTGAAGAATCCTACATTAATCTTCAACTACTGCACTCTGTGGAATGATGAGGAGGTCAGCGCTGCTTTCTTTTTTATTTTGCCATGCAATCTTGCGCCTCCCTTCTTTTTACAGCCCTCTGATGTTCGTTTCTTTTCTGGCCAGGGTACTTTGATTCAGGGCACGGCTCCTTCGGAACTCACGCGCCATTTCTCTCCGCTTCTCCAGTTGGGTAGCGTTTATTTCGTGAGCAACTTCCGCGTCAAGCCACCGGCCCCTTCGTATCGTTCTTGCTCTCATAAGTTGACCATCGTCCTCTCTGCTGCTACACAGTTCGAAGACGTTACCCGTTCGTCACCTTCATTCTGGCCAGATGCGTTCGAATTTACCCCGTTCAGCTCGCTTCATTCCCGCATACGTTCATCGGTCTATCTAACAGGTCTTGTCCTGTATTCTTTACGTCTCTTGCTGTCCGTTCTGCACTGTACTGCTTACCACCCTTTCCTCTCTTCTCTTGCTTGTGCTTCTGTCAGATGTCGTTGGCGCTGTTGTTAGCATTACAGGCGTTTCTAGCACTGTTACTTCATTCGGTACCACTGTGCGGAGTGATTTGGTGCTTCAGAATGAAAAGTATGTTACACATGCACACCACTGCTTTATCGACTGTGCTACATTTGTTACTTACTTTCGTTGTTTTTTTGCCCAGTCACATGTTTCTTGATATCAGTCTGTGGAGTGATATAGCTCGGAATCTCAATGGTCAGGAACTGGCTGTCCTTGGTCGTTCTGGGCCAGTCATGCTTGCTGTTTGCTCACTGCGAGTCACTGGCGCTACGAAAGGTCTGCATGTACCTTACCGCTGCACTATTCTCCCTTTCATTTCCCTTCCTTCTTTCCTTATTACCTTTACCCCTTTTGTAGGAGGTTACTCTCTGACCAGTACTCCAGGCACACGTTGTGTTCTCAACCCTGTTTCTGAAATGGCTCACCTGGTCCAATCTGTGTATGTCTTTTCTTATCCTCCTCATATTTGTTTTTCCCTTTGCATCATCAGCTGTCTTTTTTGTTACTGCTAATTTGTTGCGTTCCTTGCTTTCGCTTCCGTTAGGTTCTTTGCCAGCACTAATACATGTCAATATTACCCTCCGAGGTTTGCAACTCCTACTGAGGCAGCGGCCTTCGAAGCTGAATGTACGAAGACTGTGTCACAACTGCTTGCTTTGTGTTTTCCACCTGTTGCCGATGTATGTTTTTTCCCCTTTTGCTCTCCAACTTACCTGCTTTTGTTCCTTTCACTTCATTTGTTTGTCCGTCTAATCATTTCTTCCGTTTACTTTTTTTTTAGTCTACGCGTTACCATTGCTCTGGTCGGATCGTTTCGGTTGATTCTTCTATGCAGTGGTACTACTTGGGTTGTGCGCTTTGTTCCAAAGCAGCCATAGATTATGATGGTGTTGACAAATGGTGTGATGACCACCGTCGTTTGGTGCCTCAACAAACACAGAACTTGTAATTCCTTTCTTCATTCTTGCCCCCATACCTTTTGGCTTTTTCTCGTGTCCTCATACGCTCCTGTACACGTTTTTTGCAGTTACAAACTTCGGGTAACAGTTGATGACAACACTGGATCAGCAGCTTTTGTTCTGCTGGGTAGGGCCGCTGACCTTCTTGTGGGCTTGACTGCTAACGATCTCTCTACTAGGTTTCCTTACCAGCGCAATGTTCTTCCACAAGAACTTCTGGCTCTTGAAGGACGAGACTTTACTTTTGACGTCCAGCTCCCAAAACCGGAATATGGGGCTCGTGGCCCGCCAGAGTTCACGGTCCTTGCTGTCAATGAGCAAGAACAGCCAAATTCCTGCTCACCAACTCTTAGTCGCCGGTCAAGAAATGCTATGCCCCATACACCACCTCCTAACAGGTTTTTTCCCGTGTTCTCCAGTTTGTGGAACAGTCCCCTTTTGTTCATTACTAATCGCTACTTTCCGTTGCAGTCCTCACTTGATGCCTCTTACGTCTCCATATGTTGTTCCAACAATTCAGACCGCTTCGGTAGACCATGGTTCTTCTATTGCTTCACCAAGGTAATGCTTCAATTTTACATGTCCTCTTTTCGCTGGTTGTTGATTGTCTTGAACTCGGGTTCCTTCTTAAATTTGCAGTGGGAGTTCTCAGCTTGCATTTTCTACTCCTCCACGTCGCCCCTACAACAGGTTTTTTGTACAGCCCACTTTGCTTTACAAAATTAACAAGCTCTTCTTTGGACGCTGTCGAACTCTTTCCCTATGTGTTGACATTTCTTTTTCATGCGTTGTTTACCGTCAAGTTCCAGTAGGCGCATCGCTGCTGTATCCTCACCCTCATCTGCTGCATTGGGAAGGTTGTCTGTTTGTTGTCTGCTTTGCTAGCTCAGTGCTGCTTATACACGTTCTGATATCGTTTTCTGACATGTTTCTTTTCAGCAACAGTGTTGTAGCTCCTTCTCCTGAACTTGCCCGTACTGAGATTGTTTCCTATGCGCGGTCAGTTTCTTGCCTTTTCCTGTATTACCTCAAGCGTTCGACTTAACGCCTGCTTATATTTGTCAATGACTCTTGCACACCCGTTTTAACTGCTTCTTAGCCCTAGAAGTGAGGAAGTGGCCCCAGAAACTGCAACACAGCGATCCCCACAGTACCTTCCTCCTGTTAACTTACTTACTAGCTTTACGTGTCTCTTTCTTTCCTTCCTGAGCATCTCTGTATCAGGGAACTTGCTTCGGACACTACAGATGCTACTGTGCAGAACAAGACCATTAGTTCGCAAGAAAGCGAAAGCCGAAGAAACCATCTGCTAAGAAGAAGTCTCTCTGCCCTTTATTACTTACTATGTTTCTTGTACCAAATTTACCATATCCTACATTAGGTCTTAGTTTCCTGTTTACCTTGCTTCTGTTTGCATATTGCCAATTGACTTTGGTTTTTTGTGCACCCTTCGTTGCAAATGTGCCCGCTTCCTACCGATTCCCCATTGTTATTTCGTTTCACCACTTGCTTGGTTGTTAACTGTGCATACGCCACTATTGTCTCTTGGAATTCTTTTACTTATCATAGTATCCTGCATTGTACTGCGGTTTACTGTCCTTACCTTATACAGCTTTGTTGACTTTTGCAGGAAACTGGAAGTGCAAGTGTTGCGCGTGTCCTGCAGTTACTCTTGCAGAAACCGATGTTCCAATATCGTCCCTTGAGATCCCTTGCTGGACATCCTTTGCCAACCGAATCGGCGAATCCTGACTCTGGAAATCTTAATGGCCTCGGTGTCAATTTGCAGACAACAACACTTCAGCCTTTGTCACAGTATGGTCGTTCTAATTATTCGCTTGCCAGTGTTGTCTGCTCCCTAGAATTCCAGTTTGCATGCTTTTGGTGCTCTTTTAAACCTGATAACAAAAGGCCTCCAGTCTGCACAGAATAACTTATTTTGACGCAAGAAGAACTGCAACCAATGCTTTTCAATTACATTTGGTTCTTCTGCTTTTATACATGGTTCTAAGTCGTTACCATAATAATACAATAGCCGATGGATGGCCTTTTGTATCCCTTTCTTCGCCTTTCGCTAACTACACGTGTTTTCAATGTGCAGACATACAATGTTACCTTTCAGTGGCCATACTAATTATCTACGAATGTTCTCCCTTTTTTGTTTTATACAGACCAAAATAAACAAATAGTTGTGGCTTCTGCCTTACTTGGTCAGGTTCAAATCAATGTGTTTTCCCACAGTTGAAGTAATAATCGTCTTTACTGTAGGGAGATTCCTTGTGCAGTTGGTTCTTTGTTGTTAGTCATTATCTTATTCGTGCTTTGCAAGTTGCTCCCGCATTGCATAGGAATGTGCATGTTCTTTCATATAGATGTGTTTTTACAGACCTACTTGCCTTTGTCTCCTTTTCTAGGCAATCTGTGTCTATACATCCTGCACCTGTACGTCGCCGTCGCTTGGTTGTTTCTTCTGATGAAGACGAACCTGTTGTCCCTTTGGAACTGCAAGACTTGGACGTTGAACTTCCACTTCAAGAACAGGCTATTGAAAACTCTTCGACTTGTCCTGTTCCTACCGTTGACTCTGCTTTGCCTTCCCCTTTTCTTGTCTGGCCAAGAAGTTCCCGCTACTTCCAGTGGGAAAACTAATCCTGGGAGGGCAAAGCGAATTAGGACACCGTCTTGCAAAGGCCATTGAAGCATCTGTGGATGCCTCTAAAGGAAGCCAAAAACTCCCAAATCGTCTGCTAAGGAACCTGCTAAGAAGCAATGTTTGCTGATTGACCATGCTTCGCATCATGCGAGTGCTAATGTAACATGTTTGTGCAGTGCTGTCCCTCCCTTTCTTTTGTGTCACTTTTAAAGGGAAACACTCTTTAGTGAGTAGTGCACTATGTACTTTTGCCTTTTGTATCTACATTTGCAGCCCTTGCCAAACTTGTGGTGTTCCATTACTGGCACCACTTTTACCAATCTGGTCTGCTGTGACATTTTACTTGTATTAGTTACCTCTTTGTCCAGATTACCCCTTGCGTACCTGCTTTCTAACCAGCTCTATGTCGTTACCGTAAAGCAACATTTTGCCATGCCTTCTTTAAGTGGCATAGTATCGCGCCACTCTGCAACTGATCTTTAGTTTGTGCTAAGGAACTGGTTTACTTTGTATCATCATTTGTTGGGCGGAATTTTGCCGTTTAACCCGCATTCGCATCGCACCTGTATCTACTTCGTTAGCCAGTTGTTTTGCTCTTTATTCGCAGGTGGCCATTGTCTGTTGTAAATGGCCACTTTGAGGACCACATTGTGCACACCCTTTCCGCTTGCAGGGTATTTAGGTGGTGTCTACCAGCCACACAGAAACTAGATATTTAGATTGTCCACTAATACATGACTTTGTTTACTAGCTTCCATAGACCCAAATTATAAACTTATTCCTCTTCTATTAATTGCCATCATGCATTTATTGTTCTGACCCTGTTCACTAATGATGGCTTTATTACTTCTCACTTCTCTAGACTAGCCTGCTATGGTGCATGTTGTATTATTATACTTTTTCTTAAGAAGGATATTTCCCCCTGGAAACACCGTTTACCTGTAGACTGCCTTCTTCCATAACTGCTTTCCCATTACTGCTTCTTTTTGCTCATTCTGTCTTTGCTGTTGGCCATTGAATGAAATTCTCTGCTACATGCTATACTATTACCTGGTATCTGCCTTCCTCTGCAAATCTGCCAGTGTTTGTATTCCACTGTACCCGTTCAGAATGCGTGGCATGGTTAGTTTGGCCAAATTATTACTTTTATCTTACTACATTTACCATTGTGTTCCTATACCATGCTACGCTTGTGCTATACTTTCCAGGTCCTGTTTTTTTCCTAACGTCAGTGTGTGATCTTAGGCCACTCCTAGACAGGCTGAACTCCTACTACCCGGTCGTTCAGCGAATAGGAAGCGTCGTCATATTGGTCTTTCCACTGAATTTGTACCTACCACGCCTCCTTCGAGAAGTTCTCTGAGGCGTCGTGTGTGCAACTTTGATAGACGGGGACGCTTGCACCCACTGCTTGACTCAGAAGGTGAACTTGACGCATCCGAACTTGACTTAAGAACTCCTGAAGACTTAACAGCCAGCTCGCAAACTCATCCTCCTGTTGCGTTGGATGGTCATTGTTCATTGGCTGATGTACCTCTACCACCTTCACAACAAGCAAGATTCAGTCGGATTATCGATCATGGTTTCCCTGACTGTGAATGCCAGTACTGTGGTGCACGGTTCTGGTATGAAGAGCGGCTGAACAGGCATGCATCTCTTGCTCCTGTTTTCACGCTTTGTTGTCAAAAGGGTCGAGTACGCCTCCCATTCCTACAGGAAACTCCTCAGTACCTTGAAGACCTCTTGGGTGTTAATGGCGGTCCTATGGCAGCGCACTTCAGGGAACATATACGCTCCTATAATGCTGCGTTCCTTTCACATCTTTTGGAGCACGCCTTGATCCGAGAGTTACACGATCACGAGGACCTTATTCATTTGTGATCTGCGGAGAAAATTATCATCGAATGGGATCTCTGCTTCCTGCTGCAGGTCAGAGACCTAAATATTCTCAGCTATACGTCTTTGACCCGCAGACCGAATTAGCAGATCGACTCTCCAATTTCTCTTCTGCTGAGCGGTCCCTGCGTCCTGATATTGTTTCTGGTTTAATGAAGCTGTTTGACGTGACAAATGAATTAGTTAAGTCTTTTAGACGAATTCGATCTGAATTGAATGATCCAGCATCAATCAATTTAAGACTGCGTATTGTTGGTGCAAGGGACACAACATCTCGACAATATGAACTTCCAACTGGTTCAGAATTGGCTGGACTCATTCCTGGTGATTTCTTGCCTGATAAGGAAGAACGAGACATCATTATCGATCATCGGTCAGAGGGCCTGAAGAGGATCACAAGTGTACACCCGAAGTTTGATGCTTTGCATTTTCCGGTTCTTTTCCCATACGGAGAAGATGGATTCCATGTAACCATACCGTATGACCCTGTTCATACTCCCAAAACATTGAAAAGGAAACATGTGACTCAGAG